GCCTTCTCGCGGTGGCTTATGCGATTCCCGTCGACAACGGTGTCGAAGGAGAGCCAGAGATCGAGTGTGGCCCTACTTCCGTCACTGTAAACTTTAACACAAGGTTAGCCAGAAATAGCTTAGTGCAATAGTTGCAAATAGGAAAGCGGAACTACTTACCTTACCATTTAATATTGTGCATTTGCAGAAATCCATTCGAAGGTCATGTTTACGTGAAAGGACTGTTTGATCACGACGAGTGCAGAAATGACGAGGGTGGACGACAGGTATTTGCTAGACGGCGTTACTAACAATGGAAACTTAAAGAAATCTTATGATACATTAAAATGCAATGTTTATACAGTCGCGTTTTATCTTATCATGCACAGTCCGTAATTGCACATTAGACGGACTGGAAATCAAGTGCATGTTGCGAATTTTCTACTTATAATAAGTAAAAATAGTTGAAAAGTAAAAATATATGTCCTTTTAAGGTAGCCGGCATCGAACTACCGTTCGACTCTTGCAACGTCGCGCGAACCCGATCCTTGAATCCTCGAGGAGTGTTCGTCACCACAACCGTTGTAGTCTCCTTCCACCCTCAGTTCGTCACTAAGGTTGACAGGTATGATATTCGGTAGAAAAAAGAAATGCGAATGAATGGATGATTGAGAAATTAAAGGCCATTTATAGAGCCTACCGTATCCAATGCTTCTACATGGAGGCAGACAAGACCGTGTCTACTCAAATCGAAGTTTCTGATCTTACTACTGCCTTCCAAACTCAGGTAAAAGATCCAAGAAGCTTCGAACTTCTAGGTCCATTATAGCATGCGATCCAGAATTACTCTGTTATAGGGTTCTAATTTGAACTATATTTTATCTTTTATCGGTAATTTGTAGGTCGTACCCATGCCAATTTGCAAGTATGAGATCCTCAACGGTGGACCAACTGGCGAACCAGTACAGTTTGCTACCATTGGACAACCAGTAAGCTCACAATCTCCCCATTTGTGGTTTGGGGGAACTCTCTACGCGTTAATTTCTAGGTTTACCACAAATGGACTTGCGATTCGGAGACTATTGACACATTCTGCGCTGTTGTACACTCTTGCACCGTCGATGATGGAAATGGTGATACCATCCAGGTATAAAAA